CCCAAAACCCCAAAACCCCAAAACCCCAAAACCCCTTTTAGTTTTTATATGCTTGAAATAATTTAGTTTAGTAGCAGTTAATAGATGAGTCGAAGTGACCGAGATTGGCTACGCTTTTTGGGAAAAGTTATCCCTTATACTCACCTTACACCCAGAGCTTGAGTCTTCTTTTTGGAGACTAGTAAACACATGAAGAACACGTTCAATGATTGGCGAGACGAACTATGTCAGCCCGAGTATTACCAGAATAAGATAGTGGTTATAGATACAGAGTTGAGGAGGAATAAGGTTTATGAAATATTTTTTGAACCCAGCTTTACTAAGTTTCATGTTCACATTGTTGTCAGATTGGGAGACAGTTTGGATAAGGTATATGATTCACTCCCTCCAGAGGTTAGCAGGAACATTGTTGAGGTAGAAAGAATATATTTCTCAAAAAGCTTTGAGGATCCCGATACTCTTGTTATGGACTTTATGACTTGGGCTTATACAAGAAGTATCAGTTATAAAAACCTGACAATTTGCACTTTTGAACCGAGAGCTAAGGTTTTCAATAGAAAAGTTTTGAATTTCAAAAATCCTCCAATAATCAACAACACGAGCAAGCCGTTAGGAGTGAGTAAGTATGGAAGTAGAAATACAACTTACTCTGGCTTTATTAATCCCATATGTCATTATCCAAGTACTTTAAAGAATAAGAGAACTGTTTCACATTCACCTTCTGATCCACATTGCTCAAAGCCTAGAGGGTACCAAACGAAGGCCAGATTAAGTACAGGAACAATATCTATAAAGCAGGAAAAGAACTCAAATGTAGATACAAATGCAAGTAGACTTAATCCACAAACTCTTACAAAATATCTGTCAAAGAAAGTCATATATAAAGTTTGAATGGACACAACCAGTTTGGAAATACTTTCAAAATTAGATTGTACAATAGAGAACTTGGAGATTGAGCATCACAAAAAAGATGACGTTTGCTTGAACTATTTACCCATCATCAATGAGAATGTGCAAAATCATTTGAAAAGAGTCACTTTGGTAGTTAAGGAATGTGAGCCAAATCTAGATAATCTATGCAGATCCTTGAGTACTTTCACTAAGGATACGAAGAAAAAATTAGTTTGAACTTCAATTCCAATCACCAAGTTGTTGGACTGCTCAAACATTGACTGCATTTCAACAGGCGACTGATGGGATGTTGAGCTCAAAGAAGCAGTATTTTATTACTTTAGCGACCAAAATGTCTTTAGAGTATTCACAAAGAAACTATTTGTTTGCCTCAATACTCAGAACCAGCTTGATAAAGATGAATGCTCAAAGATAAAGCTTTTGCTGCTAGATGAGTCAGTCAAGATTTGTAGTATCGAAGGATGGTGGAAAGAAAAATTAGATGATGCACACCCAAAAATTCTCCAATACAGAGACCTCCTCTCTGTCACAGATGTGAGTGCTTTGATACTTGAAAATGACGATCTTGTTATCAGCACTCTTATTAGAAAAGGGAAAAGTCCATTTTATTTCAAGAGGTTGAACATTAAGAAAGTGAACACCTTGTTTGTTCAGATATCTGATTATTCAGAAAGTCCGAGAGATGCTGTCATAATATGCGAAGAGTTATTTAAAGAGTACAATAAGCTTTACTTCTCGAACTGAATAGAAACTGAAGTAGGCCAGATGTATTCCCAAAAGTTAGTCATAGATATTGATTTTGACTTATTTTTCATGTATAAAAATAAAATGCTTAATCTGTTTATTGAGAACTTCAGAAATGGGATGAAAACTGCATTGATTAATCTTACTTTTGACGGTAGAGAAGATGATAAGTTGATGCTTTCGATTGACTTGACCAATTATGAAACAACTTTGGAGTCTTGAAAGCTAGTGAAAACTAAACAGCAGTTGATTAATCTTATTAAGAAGAACTTCTACTGCTGGGATGCTGAGGATTATGAAGCCATCGATAATATCATTTGCTAATTATAATTTCAATAATACACTAAATAGTTGGGGTTTTGGGGTTTTGGGGTTTTGGGGTTTTGGGGTTTTGGGGTTTTGGGG